ATTATGCTTGCTTTTGCGTGGGAAATCCAGAGCTGGTTTTGCTTCTTCTGTGCCAATGTGGTTTATTCAGTAAAATAATGTCCCAGGAGTTTCTTTTTCTGAATTCCCCAACTGGACAGTGGACAGTGAGTTAGAAAGAAAGACTCAGCTGGCTTTGAAATTGTTTCCTACTGAAATCATTTTGGAGCCAACTCAGAAAAAGTAATCACCAAGAAAGATTGACCTGGGAATGGTGACTCTGATCGGTTTAGGCCAGGGGTCTCAAACACAATTTACCTGGGGGCCGCTGGAGGCAGAGTCTGGGTGAGGCTGGGCCACATAATATTATACTTTATATTATACTTTATATTTATATTATACACTAATATTATACTTTCATATCACGGTGGGGGCCACAGGATATCGTCCTGCGGGCCGCAATTGGCCCGCGGGCCGCGAGAATGAGACCTCTGGTTTAGGCTATGAGGAGACTGACCTTAATTCACTAAGGGATTCTTTCTCTCTCATCGCGTTTTCCAGACTCGTCTGCAGCTCAATAATTGATTGCCGTAAAGCGAATTTCTGTTGCTCGTGTTGTTCTGTATTCTACAGGAGATGAAATAAGATAATTAAATAAATGCTAGGAGAAAGGGACAGAGGAAACCGCAAAGAGAGAGAAGCAGGGGAGAGATTTTTCTGGAACAAAAGCAACGGAAAGAAAGTATTCCTTAGGAAACTAATTGACTCGGAGCTTTCCTGCTACAGGTAGTCCTTGACTTACAACCATTTGTTTAGTGACTGAAGTTACAACGGCACTGAAATAAATGACATGACCTGTTGGACCTGACACCACTTAAATCTCTAATTAGAAATGATCCTTGACTCCATTTGTTGAGAAAGGTACAATGTATTAGAGATCATGTGCATTGCAATATTGCAAAGCCAAAACTGAGAATCGCGCACCAAAATCCCTGAACAGGTTGTTAAGTGAATCTAGCTTCCCCAATGATTTTGCTTGTCAGAAGGTGGCAAAAGGAGATTTATATGAATCCGGGACACTGCAAATGTCATAAATACTTATCTGTTGCCAACCGTCTGAATTTTGATCACATGACCTTGAGGATGTTGCCACGGCCGTAAGTGTGAAAACAGGTCATAAGTGCCATGCTTTTGAGTGCCACTGTAATTTTGAATGGTGACTAAATGAATGGTGGTAAGTTGAATATTAACTGTGCAGGTAATTGTACAGAGTTGCCCCGAAAAGAGCTAAACGAGCAGCCTTTCATAAATTTAATAAACAAATAAAATTTAAAAAAATAAAATAAAATTCAGGACAAACTTGATACTTACGTCGCTTAGTTTCTTCTGCAAGTCTCTCACTTGCTGTGCATATTCTCCCAGGATGTTCTCCACCTGCTCTTTCCCAGAAAAGCTAACTGATTTTTTCGGGCTCCTGATCTCCGAGTCATATTTGGAAGGAACTGTCTTCGGAGGACTACTGCTGTGTGAACTAGGAATAGCGTAGGAGGTGGCATCCAGGACTGTACTGCTGTGCTTGTTTAAACTGGACGATGATTTTGGGCTGGTCATCATGTGAACCCCTGAAACACACAGATGGACCAAGAATTAGACAGTAACTGAAGAAAACACAGAATGACATAATGGTGGGAGAAATGGTCATCTCTATTAAATTCATATTAACTGTTTTTATATTTTCTCTTTTTTTTTATTACTCGGTACACCACTCAGAGTCTGCTCTGACCTCGGGCTTCCTCAACAGCGCGAAGCTGAGTCCTCGTCCCAATAAACCCCTTTTATTTGATTTATAATGAATTTCCTCTCCAACAAAGTCCCGGCCAACAGTCTTTCACAATAGTTCCCAATTACAGACTTTTAATCAGGCATGGAGAGTTGCCAGGCCGGTATCTTTCAGATGCCGCAATACTTGCCGGAATGAAATAATTGTCTCCTGCAAAGTCCCATTCCCCTTTCGCTCCTCTTTTATTCCTTATGGGAGGGGCCGTTCACCATCCACCTGTTGTGGTTAGCTGGCCGCAGGTGCAAACGGCTGAGGAGAGCGAGGACTCAGATGAGGGGCCAGGACCATTAGGGAGTGGACTGCTGCCTTCAGAGATTGTGGGGGCTGGAAGCAGTGGTGAGGAGGTTCCCGAGGAGCCTGTGCCAAGTACGCCTGCATGCAGGGTTGCTCATAGAAAAGAGCAGTTACAACAGCATGGGCGACTCGGGAGTAAGGCTGCATGGTAATGGCCTCTCCTTCAAGAAGATAAAAGCCAGCTGTGAAACGAACGTTCTTTGCAGAAGGCAAAGACGTTTTGAAACTCCAGCCTCGTGGATATTCCAGTATCCTGAGTTTGTATTTGAAGATTCTTATTTTGCAAATTATTTCTTGTCTGTTATCTTTTGGCAAGCCTCGCACAGTTTGGCAAGGCTTGTGCTTATCACAGCTAATTATTTTGTAAAAGCATTATAAGGTTTCTGTTCCCTTTGGATTGTGTTTGATTTGTTGGAAAAGGGTGTCACCTGTGCCTTTACTCCCAAGTCAGCCTTTGTTCCTCAGCTGTTCCCTTCTTCTGGCAACTCTGTGCATGCGCACACTGGGAACAGGCTCCAGCTGTTCTTCTGCCTTACTAATGCCCGACTCTGAAGCCAGCTGATAACTATCAGATGGCCCTGGTCCCATCTCTGCCTCCAACGCAGAGCACTCGTCAGAGCCTTCCCCAGACTCCAGGACTGGCTCATGTTCCTCCCAAACCTCCTCACTGTCCGAATCTGCAGCCAGTTCCACTGGGTGCTGTCGGGCCACAACAGAGTCGCTCCAACAGTCAGATAGGCGGCATATAAATTTAATGAAGAAATGAAAAATAAAAGTGATTGCTTATGTCTCTAATCAGCAGTCACAACCATGACACCTGATAAGATAGGGGATAACTGCAGGGGTGGGATTCAATTTTTTTAACAACCGGTTCTGTGGGCGTGGCTTAGTTGGTGGGTGTGGCTTGGTAGTCATGTTATTGGCTGGGCGTGGCCAACTCAATATCACTCTCATCGAGGCACGCATCTCCTCGCCTGGCCTCTCATGACTGTGGGGATGTTGCAACAGTCGTAAGTGTGAAAAATGGTCATAAGTCACTTTTTTCAGTGCCATTGTAACTTTGAATGGTCACTCCACACAAGCAAAGTACCACTAAAAGAGGGGAAAAAAACTCCAGAGAAGTTCCTGAGACAGGAAGTCTAGTCCTGCCAAGAATGTAATAAGGGTTAATGGAGAGGCAGTTTCTGTAAGCAACACCAGAAAGTTTCCTTCCTGCCTTCCTTACAGGATTAGGCCAGTAATTTTTTCTAACAACCGGTTCTCCGAACTGCTTAGAATGTTAACAACCGGTTCTAGAGAATAGGTGCGAACCGGTAGAATCCCACCCCTGGATAACTGCTCATAACAGCTTCCCTACATTCATACACACACACAATGTCAAGGTTTTTGCCTTTTTGCCATGATGAGGAATTAACACTTCTCAAACAGTGAGGTTTTCAGAACTATAACCCATAGCAACTAATAAAGCAGCATAAAACTGCATTGTTCAGCAACATTGTTCCATTAAAGTAATTTATAGGGAGTCCTTGTTTAGGGACCACCATTGGGAAATGGTCGCCAAGTGGGAAATTACCTGACCGCAATTGTGTTTTCCTTTTCCTCCCTCTTCTGCTCTTGAGAATGCTGCCGGACTGCTCAGCAAAATACCAAAACTTACCTAGCAGCCCAGTATATACTGTATGTATGCAAATAAAATAATGTTTGCACCTTCAAAACGATTTGGTTGCTTTAGGTGAGCCAGGTTTAGGCCTAGGCGATCTGAAAATGTTTCCGGTCCATCTGCAGAAAAAAGGCCAGCTATAATTTGCAGTACGTGCTAATTAAACATACCTGTGGCAAGGAAAGGAGAAGACTTTCCTTCCCGACGTCCAGTGGATTCTGAAGAGAACTTGGTGGCTTCTTCCTGGAGTTTCAAGGTTTCTTGTGATTTTTTCTTCAATGCTTCCCTGTGCAATTCAGTGGTAAATCGTAAATGGAATCTGTGCTGGATTCTAACACTATGCATTCTTCAGAATAGATCGAAAGGAGCTACTTTGGACTCCTACTGGCACGATACCTCTTTATGGTAAAATGAGGAACCAGATTTTGGGGGCAAGAGGCTGACTCTGTAAACTGCTTAGAGAGGGCTGTAAAGCACTGTGAAGTGGTATATAAGTCTACCAGCTAGGTACCTGTGCTTCGCTATGAAACTATGTGATTGGGCTTGGTTTTTGGGAAGGAAAATAAGGAGAAAAAAATTCTGCCTCTGCCTACCAGTATCCATCGGTATTCATCTGACTAGCGTCCTGTCAGTGTGTGAGAGAGTTGAGGGTTGTTTGGAAACTGAAACATGGAAACTAAAACAGTATTTGCTGTGTGAGCAAGGAGAGAGCAAGGAGCCTGGGTGTGGCTTAGCTCAACTGTTCTGTACTAAAGCTGCTTGGTGCTGTGTAATTAAAACTGACACTGCTTTCTTCTGCTTGTGTTTTGCATTTGGAGCAGATTTCTTTTCAAGTGGGGAGGTGGAGTAGAACTCCTTAGCATCAGATCCTTTCTTAGTGAGCGCCTAGAAGCCAAGAGGAACACACATGCCAAATTTCAAGTTTGTAGGCTTTACGGTTCTGGAGATTTTGTGATGATGCATGAGTGGTATTTCGCTTTTACATATATAGAAGATTATTACTCCTTATTAAAGCAACTGTGTTTTTCCC